CAGAATTTAAAGTCCCGTGATGAGGTTATATATGCATAGCTAATTATTGGATAAAATTGCTCATTTGTCACCGTGACAGCAATGTTCATCTTTGTGACGACATTTCCATAGATACCACCATGGTCTGGTGAGTACAATGTGGTCGGGCTTTTAGGGATATGCTTTGTTCACAGAGCGGAAAAAAAAGAAAAGCTCTGCATTCGTAGTGGGGACAGTTTCTCTAATGGGTATGCTTTCTTGGGTGAAAACAAGGGTGAAGAGTTCTTCCTTTGAGAGGAAGTAAGGGAGGGCTGGGCGGAGCCATTCCTGGTTACTAAGGGGGAGGCAGCATTGCGGTTTTCATAGAAACCGGGGTCATTATGGCGACTCTTTTCAAATGGCGACCGGACGATGTCCTGGAAAGGAGCATTCAGTTCCTGGTGTTTGGACTGAGTTGAGCTTATGGATTCCCGGAGGTGAGCACCAGAATCTTTCTGAGGGTTGGGAGGCAGATGCGGGGATTCCAGACCCAAGTAGGACCACTCCTACCTCGGGGCTTGCAGCCTGTGTTTCTCCGGAAGGAGAGAGACTTGGGACCATTCTGCCTCCTCCTGTGCTGTTCTGTACAGGGCTGTGCTGGAGCCATTGTCCAGGAGGGGAGTTGTGGGAGAGTGAGCAGGAGGGAAATGAGGCCAAATGAGCACTCTGTGATCCCGACTTCCCACTCTGTGCGTGAGATTGCTCGCTGACATTTGAGGTTTTCCGTATGTTTCATAGAAATGTTAGAAATGTTTTATCAGATATATGTATTTCTAACTTTTCTCCTAGCCTCAGACTTATCATCTCAATTCTCATCCATGTCTTTGGAAGAGCAGGAGATTTTAAATTGTAAGATCCCACCTTCTCTAGTTCTTCAATTACGGTTTTTATTCGGTGTCTTGTCTGCGAAATCTTTGCCTGGCACTCAGTGACAGGGATTTTCTTCTTGTGTTCTGTTTGACATTTATAGGCTGATTTTTATATTTTTACATCTGTAATTTATTTTGAATGGTCTTCACATATGATACGATGTAGGTCCTAGTTTATATTTGTGGGTTTGGATATACACTTGCCTCAGTATTGCTTCCTGAAAGGCCATCTTTATGCATCAAATTGCCTTGTTTATTTGTGAAACATCAGTTCTCCAATTATCCAATCATGGTACATATGCCAGTAATCCCAGTGCCTGGGAGGCTGCAGCAGGAGTATGGTCAGTTCTTCTCAGCACACACTACACGCACTACACACAAGCTTGATGCCAGCATCAGACACAGGAAAAATGTTGACTCGATATAGGCAGTGGTCTGTAAATGTGTGGATGTGAGCGTGGAATGTTGGTTTTGGACTTTTTCTTGCCAACTTTGATTCAAAAGCATGCTGGTCCAATTACTGTAGGTTCAAACAGAGGTCTCCTATCAGGCAATGCTGTTCTCTAACATTTGTCTGTTTCTAAGGTTTACACAAGCTATATATTTAGTCTACAATGTTTAGAATTATCCACTCAATTTTTATATTTATTTATTTATTTATTTATTTATATTTTTTTGGTTTTTCGAGACAGGGTTTCTCTGTGGTTTTGGAGCCTGTCCTTGAACTAGCTCTTGTAGACCAGGCTGGTCTCGAACTCACAGAGATCCGCCTGCCTCTGCCTCCCGAGTGCTGGGATTAAAGGCTTGTGCCACCACCGCCCGGCTTCCACTCAATTTTTTTTTTTTTTGGTTTTTCGAGAATTTTTAAAAAGAGTAAGTGCTATTTTATTGTTAGTGCATCGAATCTGTAGCTCAGTTTTGAATCAACAGACATCTTACTAATAATGAATTGTTTGAGCCGTGAACATAGTTGTCCTTCATTAAGACAGGTTGTCTCCAATTCAGCAATGTTTGGAAATCTCTCGGCCTATCAGCACTATGGATCTATCTGTCGGGATAATGCACAAATATTTGTACTTTTTGATTCATCTATAACTGCTATTATTTTTTAAACAAATTGATACGTATTGTTTTTTCTGTGAACAAATTATTAAATCTTCTGTAAACTGTCAGGAAACAAGTGTCAATGAAACTTACAAAGGATATATTTTGTTGAAAGCATGGATTACCCCATGATGAAAACGTTATTTGATGTGTAATGCAGTTTGTCGCTATTTTCTTATCGGCATTTACAGGTTATTATTGACAGTCTGAAACAAATGAGAGAAATGTCCCAGAGACAAGTCCATGGCCATCGTCACAGGAATCTCATTCAGACCACATAATTTAGGAGCTCTCACCATCCTGTGTGTGGTCAGAGACGAATCTGTTGTAACGTGATTGTACCCCTTGAGCTCTCAGTAAACACCAGGGAGCTAGGAGAGTGAGAATGAGAGGTGTCGTGTGTGTGTGTGTCGTGTGTGTGTGTGTGTGTGTGTGTGTGTGTGTTTGTACAGGAATTCCTTGGCAGAGGCTGGTCTGCAAAGCCTGATTGATTGACTCTTAGACCTGCAGTGATATGGAGATGGTGGAAGTCGCAGTCCCAGGGCCTAATTACAATTTCCTTTGTGTTCTCTTGAGCCCATGAGTAGCCAATCCTTGGGCCCCCTGTGTTGGACTTACCTAACACCTTGTCACTAACAGATGACGTTGGACCTGACATTTAAAATATCAGAATATGTCTCCTTAACAAAGCTCTAAGTTTCTGCGAGTCAAAGTACTGTGTGTCATCACATAGCAGCTAGTAGCTGAGGTTTCTCTGCTTTACCATAATAGTCTACTTAATATTATCTCCAATGCACTGAAGGAGAGTCTACAGTTTCTTCATTCTGTTATTATAAAAACTTCATGAAATTGTTTCCACATTGTGACATGTAATTTGTACTAACATAAACCTGTCTCACTCATGTTTACTCACAGATATTTGACTCCAGAATGAACTCTCTTCTTCCTTCGAGGTGAGAGCTGTGTGTTTACATTGACAATTGTTAGTGTGTGTTGTGTATATGCTCATGCTTGTGCAGATATGTCCCTGGATATATATGTGTGAAAGTTAGTTAATCACTTACTGCTGTGATAGGTTATGTGTTATAATTCTCCTGGTCCTCTTCAATGATGACCTGGTGTGTAGTACACTGCTTACTTATCTCCATAGTTCTTTACTCATGTGCTGACTTTTATCAGTATGGCTCAACACCCATTTTCCTAAACTGTTTTCCTCTCTATTGCCGTTCTCTATTTCCATGCTCCATTTGTCCCAGTATTGGCTAGAGGAATCCTTTTAAGATGGCATCAATGAATATCACAAATTCACCTTAAGCTTAGGAGCTCACAGCCCTGCTTCAGGGAAAGTTTGCCCCAAATTAACAGCTCTGCTCTGGTAGGGGAGGGTTACCCCAGCCAGGTTGTTACAGCTCTCCTTAGATCCTCAGAAGAGTAACAACTCTGCTCTGCTAGGAGAAACTTTTCCAGTTCTGCTCCCCTCACCTCTGCTTGGCTCCAGTTGAAGTCATTGCTTCTCTGTTCTTCTTAGGCAAAGAAGGTCTCACCCAAGCCTCATTTAAGAGATTCACTGGGAGGGAAGAGTCCAGGAGGTGGCTGACCCTGCAAGAGTGGGAAAGGCAGCTCCCAACTGAACAGGTACAGGGTGGTTTCATGCTCAGTGATTAGCTTGTTTTCCTGCTCTGGGATTGGTTCCTTTTATGCTGAGAGATTGGTTAGTTTGTTTCGCTGAATTGGTAAGTGGAAGAGTGTGTTTCTGTGGCTTTGGTTTCAGGGACAAAGTGTGTTTATTTCACTGGCCTTTTTAAAACGTTGGGCTCTGGTTTCAGGGCCAGTGAATTGATTCTAGTCTCAGGGTCAGTGTATGTTTCTTTTGCTCTGGTTTCAGGATCAGGGTGTGCTGCTTTGGACAGAAAGGGGTGTTGTTTCCCCTAGAAACAGATATGCAGTCCATTGTGGGCCAGCAAGTGAGTGCTGAGAACCCAGCCCAGGTCTTCTGTAAGAGCAGCAAGTCCTGTTAACCATGGGGCAATCTCTGAAGTCCAAGTCACCAAATATAAAACGTAATTTGTATTTTTCCACTTTTCCCCATAATGACAATAGACATCTTCTTATACTCAGGTAGGTATAAGTTTCATTATTATTTACCAATCCATAAAGTTTCTTTATGTTACTTAGGTTCTCATACCCAACCACTGCCCAACCCTGTCTGCAGAAAAATACAACAATCTGATATTATAGACAAATTTATATATGCTGGAATGTATTAGGATAAAACCAGAGTTTAGAGACATCTGGCCTTCATTCATCTTGAATATATGTTTAAATTTATCTCTTTTGTTGCCCATGATAATTGTTCATTCTTAATATGAAATAGTGTAGCAATGTATAGCTACACGGCAAGTTTTATAATTTAGTTTATTTCATGTGTATATATGCTTGCCTACATATAGGTATGAAGAGCTCATGCATGCCTGTTGCTCATGGAAGCCAAGAGTGGACATTGAATCCCTTGGCACTGGAGTTAACAGTTGAAAACTGCCGTGCTGGTTTTGGGAAATGAGTCTTTGCCTGTTGCCTGTTGCTGAGGTTGTTTTCAATTTCAGTGTCTTGTATATAAAGCTGTTGTGAACTGAAATAAATAAGTCTTTAAAAGAAAATATGTCCTCTTTCTCCAGGTTATATATTTGGGTTGTGATGGCCAGATGACAATTAACATATGAAGAAACAGAAAAAGATTTTTCCAAGTTATCATCCTGTTTTCCATGGCCACCAGCAGTGGGTATTTGAGAGTCATCCTCCACAAACTTGCCAGGTCTTTGTATGACAAGTCTTTATTTCTGAGTATTTTATATGGGTGTCGAGAGTCCCATCAGAATCACCTGTCTCTCTTCCCTAAGTGTTAAGCATGTTGCTGCTGTATGTTTCTCTTAGTGGAGCATCTACTCACCCTTCTGGTCAAGTTTTATTTCCTGAATTGTTTATTTTCTTAGTGTCTCCTTTAGAAGCTTTCTGTATTCTGGATACAAGAAGACTGTCATCTGATATACAATTTCCCACATTCATTTTCCCAGGTAAGAAAAATATGTTTCTATCATATATTTGGAAGAATAGACATTTTCTCACTTTATGGAATTCTTAACACTCCTGTTCTTCATTTAATGAAAGGGGGTTTGCCGTATCTAAGAAGTTTGTTTGTAATTCATGAACCTGAACATCCAATTGTATTCTGCTACAAGATTCATGTTTAGGTTGTAATTTGGACTTCTTTTAGGTTTATTTTCCCTATTTACTGAGGGTCTGCCTGTATGTCTGTGTGTGCCATATACACGTTTGAGTGCAGATGCCCACTGAGACCAGAAGAGACTGTCAGTTCCCCTGGATCTGGAGTTACAGACATCTGTCACCCACCATATGGGTGCTGGAAACTGAAGTCAGGTCCTCTGCAATAGCAAAAGGCACTCTTAACTTCTGAGATGTCTCTCTAGTCCTGTGTAGATCATTTGTTCATTCTCGATTGACTTTTGTATCCTGCGATATACGTTTGTCTATATTTATATTTGTGCATGGGGAGGTCTGCTTGTCCCAAAATAAGACAGAAAGACAGGGCATTGAAGGGGATATGAGAGGGAACACACAGCCCCTCACCCTGTAATCATTTTTACATTTTTCTGACATTCAAGAAACCTCAAGCCAACTGATAGAGCCAAAATTACCTGCAGATATGATGCAACTATTCCTAAAGACATCCCAAATAATGTTTAAAAATAACAACAAATAAACTAGAGTCTGAAGATAGGGTGTCAGGAGCTGTTTCCTCCTGAAGTCATTACAGGAACCATCACCCTGGGGAGTCTGCAGAGAACCCCACACCCCTAATTGTGTTAGGAATCGTTCTATTGACAGAGCCTACCCCATACCCAAATTGGCTGTTAATGGAGAGCTATCTGTTAGTGGAACCCGCCCCACATTCCAAACTATCTAGAGAACTAGGTGTGTCAACTCCTAGTTGTGAGTTCCCCGCCTATGTGATCTGACCGAATGTAACCTCCTGGCCTAGTGACCAACGTGAACTACGTGAACCATGCGACAAGAGTCCAGGCCCCTGTGCCCCCCCCCCCAATTCCTTACCCTATATAAACTGTAAACCTGTCTCTAATAAGCGCAGGCTTCGACAAATCTACCTAGCCTTCTTCCTCTTTCCCCCCATATCTTCCAGATAGTGCCTCTCCGGGACCCTGGAATAGCTGAACTGCCAGGTGGGTTACAGACCCTAGACTGAGTAACCCACCCAAAGCGGTTTACAGTGGCGCCCGAACCAGTGACTCGGAGCACGGCCAACTATTGGATGAAGATGCGCGGTCCCGGGACAACAACAAGAAGAAAAAAGAAGATTCTGTGGCTGTAGAACTCAGACACATCTGCAGAATGAGGTAGGCGCAGGATCACTGTCGTCCAAAAAGATATGGGACTTTCAAAGGAAGAGAAATTCATACAGGAATTTGCGCACGCCTTTAATCCCAGCACTCGGGAGGCAGAGGCAGGCGGATCTCTGTGAGTTCGAGACCAGCCTGGTCTACAGAGCGAGTTCCAGGACAGGCTCCAAAGCCAGAGAGAAACCCTGTCTCAAAAAAAAAAAAAAATCAATCAATCAGGGAGAGAGGAGTAAGAGTCAAAAAGAGAGATTTATGTGTTTGCTTTATGTGTTTGCTTGCGGACTCAAAAGGGAGTCCCTCGAGATGCGAGAAGTTAGGGTACAATCCACACAGCTATGCCTGCCAAGCAGGCTGGCTGCTAGGGCTAGAGAGCCTATGTCTTTAACCCCCTGCCATATGGAGCAAAAGCTGACAGGCAGGTTTGCTATAAAGGAATCTAGACTCAAAAAGCTGCAGCTTCATTTAGGACAGTAAATATGCTTCTTTTCCATTTTTAAAAATCTTGCTTCTTGGTCAAAAATCTTTAGTTTGTAGGTGTCTAAGTTTATATCTAAGGTAGATTAATTTCAGTACTGTGTTTCTGTAAAAAAGTTTTAAAATCAAAGATTGTAATACATTCAGAAAATTTTTAAAATTGTTTAGGCTATCCTGAGTTTTCATTTCTTTCTCATAAAGTTGAGGTTTGTTCTTTCGAGTTCCGTGAAAAGTTTTGCTATAATTTTAATGAACATTTACATTAAAATCTGTATGTGAGTTCTGTGAAAAATGTTGCTATAATTTTTTTTAATTTATTTATTTATTGTGTATACAACATTCTGCCTCCATGTATGCCCACACACTAGAAGAGGGCACCAGATCTCATTACAGATGGTTGTGAGCCACCATGTGGTTGCTGGGAATTGAACTCATGACCTCTGGGAGAGCAGCCGGTGCTCTTAACCACTGAGCCATCTCTCCAGCCCGTTGCTATAATTTTTAATGGACATTTACACTGAATCTGTAGATTGCTTTCAGTAAAATTGTCATTTTTGCTGTGTTTCTTCTGCTTTCCCAAGAAAGTAGGGGATCTCTCAAGATTTAAAATTCTCATACAAGTTTTTCCATTTGTACGGCCCGCTCTTGGGTGGGAGTCGTATTGTTTCAGCTTGAGGTTCTTTCCTGCTGACAGGTGTTGCTCCAGGCTAAACTGCTGAGACTCCAGCCTCTCACTAAATTTATCAAGGGCAGGAGTTATACTCTACCAAGTGATAATGGTTAAAAATAAAAAACATTTCTGCCTTCACACGCAGAGATTACGGGACTCAAACTTCTGTCCTGCTTGCTTAAAGTTATTCCAAGATATTTTGTGGTATTCATGGATACTTAAAAGGATGATGTCTCATTTATCCTAGGTGTAAAAGAGGTACATTTGGGTTATTTTCAGATTCTGGCTATGATAAGTAACTCTGCTGTAAGCAAGTCTGAGCCCATGGTCTTATGGTTAAACAACTTTGTATTTAGGCCCAAAAGGGTTATTGCTAAGTTTTGAGGTAAATATTTGCCTAATTTTAAAAAAATAGACATAATGGGGGTCCCCCAGTGCTGGGGAGACTCTCACTCAGGTCTCCCCATGGCTCGCTGGAGGCCATCCTTGCTGAGGTAGTGCACGTGGCTTTAGTTGGGGGGGGGTGGGGGGAGGAGTTCAGCCTCTAGTGACCTAAAGAGAAAATTTTTGAAAAGGGGCCACAGCCCAGTGGTCCAGGAGGGTCATAAATTCCAAAAATACAGTGGTGGTCGCAGGAGGACAGCTGCCTGCCTTGGGACCACTCCCAGGGTCATAATCCGCTAGTTCCTAAAACAGTACTGTGATAATTGCAGCTGGAAAACCCGTTTTTCGAGGTAAAGGTCTGGCTTTGTCTTCAGACAGTTCCTGGTACAGGGTCGCTGAACAGGCTAGTCCTGGATTTTTGATCCTTCTCTTCCTGATGAGGGAGTCTGGTTTATCCAGGTTTTTCAATACTATGTGTGATCCAAAGGTGACTGTCAGTTTGCACTTCCAGCAATGGAGTTTTTTCCCTACCCACATTTTCTTAAGCATAAATTGTTAGCAGTAATTTTTAATCTTGGTCATTTTTGCAAGGATAAAATAAAATCTCAGAGTTTTGGTTTGCATTTCTCTGAGGGCTAAAGGATGTTCTGCTTAAACATTTTTTAGGTGTCTCTCATTTTTAAGTTCGTCTGAGAGTTTTCAGATTAGGTCTGTAACAAATATTCTTATTGGATTAATTTTTAATAACTAATTTCCTGAGTTCTTCATATATTTTTGAAAGGGATTTATGGTAAGTAAAGATCTTTTCCCACTCTATAGCCTTGTTATACAAAAGTTTCTCAATTCAAGAGATCTAGTTTATGGTTTCTCACAATGTTTGTGCCACTGAGGCTGTGTTTGAGATGTGGCAAAGTGTACTTCAAAAAATTTTTTCTCTGTGAGGTTCAACATAATTTTTATATGCTGAGGCCTTTGGCTCATTTAAACTTAAGTTTTGTACATGGAGATGAATATGGATCTATTTTCATTCTTCTACATGTTGGTGTCTAATGAGGCCAGCATTATTAGTTAAAATGCTTCCTTTTTCCATTTTCCTATCTGTAAGGCAGACTTAAAACTTAAGAGGAGGATAGCTTGCAAACTTTTGGTTGGATGTCCAATGGTTAAAGCTCTAGTTATAATAGTCTTATGAGGGACCTTGAGCCAATAGATAAAATTCTTACAAAAAAAACAGTTTTCAATAGAAAGCTTAAGCAAGCTGCCTAACAGATACTCAAGCAGGTAAAATATAAATCAAAAGGTAAAGTATGCAATAATCAACAAATACAGTATATTAATTATAATTCAGCTATGGCAAGTGTGTATATTAAGTACAAACTTATTCTACAACAGTTTTATAAAAAAATGCTGTTTGTGGCTAAACCTTCCCAGTTTTGCCAGTTAAGATATTAAACTCTTAATTTAAAACAGTAGCCTGTCTGATACAAAAGGACAGGATAAAAGCTGAAAAATTGTTTGACAGAATATTGACTATGATCAGTGTTTCTTATACTAAACAATAGATTCATTGATAATTTTAAGACTGATTCCTGGACAATTGTCTTTGCTCAATTCAAAGGCAAAAACAATAATCTTTTCCCAGATCATTGCTACAATTCACACAACTGTATTTTGCTAATGTTATAGCAAAAAATCCCTTAAAGGATTTTATGCTAATTTTTAGCACATTTCCCCAAATTTATTTTTGTTTTTATGCTTATATCAAATACAAAAACATTCATAATATTATAGAATATTATACACTCACTAGGAATGTTGATAAAGATATTTGTTTATTCATTCACTTGGAGTTCTTAAGTAAAACAGTATAATAGAAAATAAGTTAGAAAAGACTGTATATTCCAAAATCCTAAAAGTGATCACTTAGGGGCAGTATAAAAATACACAGAGCATTGCTATCATGAAAGTTAACTAAACCGAGGCGCTTGTGTGAGCCCCCATGCTCACATTCTCACTCAGGCTTCCCCCAACGCCTCAGCCACACCCCCTCCCACTACTCCCGCCCCACTCCAGGCCATGTGGGCTAGAAGTTACTTTCTCATACAATCCATTGGGTGTCCACAGTATTGGGGTGGTAGTCCGAGGCCAGCCTGAGACCCTTCCTGTGTACACACAGGACTCACAGACTCCCACTGTCCCACACAGGTCATCTGACTGTGACCTTGTCCAGCTCTTCCCTCTCAATAAGAGAACCAACTACAGAAGCCTGAAAGGTCTGTCAGCTATGAGGAATAGGTTCACAGCAGAGGTCTAAGTGTCACGGTTAGGCCACAGGAGATATCCATTTCAGGACCCTAAGAATATTTTATTAACAATTAACAAGTTTTCCTCTTTTTATGTGTGGTATTAGGGCAAGAACAGGTCTACGGGACTTCCTTCTAAGGGGCAAAAAACCCCAGTCAAGAACAGCGAAGCTCACGGTCTCTGCCACCAGGTGGCGTCATAGAGCAGTCCACAAGAACCTGGATGGGTGGTGGCAGCCACTCTACCTATCTCCTCCCTCCTCCTGGCTCCACAGCTGTCAACAGCTGACCCAGAAGAGATGAGGTAGGGCAGGAGGGAGTTTTCTTAGCCCTGGCAAGACAGAATGAAGACCCAAACGCCTTTCTTCTCCTTCTCTTTTAATCTCTTTTAATACCTAGATATAAAGATCCCAGAACCGACCACAGTAACAACAGCTGCATGTTGGCAGGTCCCTTCCAGGGCTGTCCTGAGCACCTGCCACGTGCCCAGCTCGCAGGCCCCGTTCTAGGAGGAGCTGGGGCTAGGGACTGCCTTCAGCCCACAGCCTCTCAGACCTCTGTTGGAAATGTGTGGTCCCAGTGGAGGAGGTCTTCCCTTGAACCAAGATGAGGGTTATTACTTGTGGAGAAACTTCATTTTATTGCCCAGACCCTTTAGGAACTTATTGACTCCGCTGTGTTCTCCGCTGGGCAAGGTTTCGAGGTATTCCTGGGCTCGGACCTCAAACAGACCTTTGGCATCCTGCCTGCGTAGTTCCCGCTCCTGGATGAAGCCACGGAAAGTCTGGGTCTCCATGAAGACCTGCAGGAAGCGGCGCAGGCTCTTGGAGGAGACAGCTTTTCTGAAGGCCTCTCGCTGCAGGCTCCTCTCCTCGTCCGAGGTCAGGAACGAGGAATAGTGGCCCACAATCTCCACGAAGAATCGGACAAAGGCTTCAGACGCCACCGCATTCAAGGGGCTGAACTCAGGGCCATGCACGCAGTCCAGTGGGCCTCCATCCTAGTCACAGGCCAGGTCATTCCTCTGCTCCAGAATGTGTTCCAGGGCTACCTGAAGCTTCCGGGGCAGAATGGAATCCTCGTCCTCCATCTGTCTGAGGAACCGATCATTGATGAGATCGACCACAAGGACCTCTTCCAGTGGCAGCTCCCTGAGCAGCGGCAGTGAGCTGGAGAGCAGCCCGATGAGGAAGGGCGTGGGTGAGCACACTATGTCAATCGTGGCGGGTGGCAGCACTGGGATGTAGGTGTGCTGCCAGCTGAAGGGGTAGATGAGCGCCACCACGGCATGGCAGCACTTGGACAGCGTGCTGAGTTTGTCCGCAATGAAGATGACCCTCCTTTCCAGGAGCAGGGAGGCAAAATCACTGATGAGGTGCCAGACGCTGAGGGAGGAGAACAGAGACTCAAAATCCACGTGCTCCAGCCGGGAGTCCAGGGGCCAACACAGCTCAATCACAACAGTCCCCGAGCTTGGCAGGAAGTTCTTGACAACGATGATTTTGCCCAGGACTGGGAAAGGGGCTTCCATGATGCTCCTCATGAGGGGCTGCACCAGAGCAGGGGAAATGCCTCTTCTCTTTTCCACCTCATCCAAGAACTTTGAAAAGAGGCTGAAACATCCCAGATGGCTCACAATGCAATAAACTTCAGGAAGCCTCTTCCCTTTGCCTCCAGGCAGCAATCTTTGGCAATAACCGAACCTTCTGCTCCCGTCTTCTCCAGTTAAGACAAATGAGAATGTTTCACTGGTAAACTCCTGGATGGAAGCCCAGTCCTTGGCGTCAGGAAAGCAGAACTGGGGCATTGCCTTCAGCTGGTCCTCAGCCTCCCTTATGAACTTGAATGACTTTTCTAACTTCAGAGGAAACTGCTGGGTGAGTTCTGGCACATAGGCAGCCCCTGCCTGCTTCTTGTGCAAAGACACGACCACAAAGTACTCGAAGAGTTGCCTCTACTGGTACTCGCTGAGATCCCGGTCAAGCGTGGAGTAGCGAGGGGCCTGCTTCAGGCGGGACTTCACATTGACCAGGCGCTGGCTGTGGGCTTTCAGCTTCTCCTCGGTGTCGCTGTCAGACTCGCTGTTCTTGTCTGTCACTTTTCCTGAGTTGCTCTCCGTGGACTGGGATAGCCTCTTCACCCGTTTCTTTCCTCTCCGGGCCTCATAAAAGGCATTGATCCGCAATACCAGCCTGGGGATCTTTTTCTTCTTCCTGCCATTCTGTAGGTCTCCGAGGTTAAAGAAAGTGTCATCCGGGTTGCTAGCTGTTTAGGGGGGGCTGGCTCTCACTGGGGACCCAGCTTCCTCCCGACTCAGCTTCTGGGTGTCCAGCAGTTTGAAGTTTCTTCTCTCTGAATTTTGCCTGAAAAATGCAGACTTGGACAAGGATTGCTTGGTGAAAGTGTCCGGGATGGAAGAGGTGGGAGATCCAGGGAAAGTCAAGACACACTTCTTGCCCAGGCAGCGGCCATGTAGCTCGATGTCCTCATACGGATTTTCCTTCATAGGTGGATCTAGAATGTCTTCGTAGACGTTCTCCGATAAAGTGCATGTGAGTCCCAGCTTGGTCTGTGCGTACCAGTCCACCCTGCTGCTCTCAGAGGAGGACTGCAGTAGGTCTTCAAACTCATAGGACTTCCTGTGGTCAGCACTGGGTCTCTGCTTCCCAGTCCACAGTCTTCTATTCACGGAAGTAGGAGGCGGGGAGGAGGGTAGCGGTGGGGGAGGGGGAGGTAAAGTGGGCAGGGGAGGCAGGTTTCTCTTCTCTTTCCTGAAGCCAATGCCTGAGCTCCCAGGACTGCTGTCCTTGTCCCCTTCTCCTGCATGTTTGAACGTTCTGCGGGGCTTGGGAAGGGGGTTGATGAAAGGCTTCGGGGACACTGCCTGGAGCCCGGGTATACACTCTCCTGGCCTTTACACTTCTCTGAAGCCTCAGCCCCTGGCTCCTTGTCCTCCAAGGGGTGGGCCCTGCGGCCAGCTGCAAAAGCACCCCCACTTCCAGGACTCTCGGGAATGTGCTGGTCCTCTTCTGCTTTGTCAGGCAGACAGTGTGGGGAATAACAAGTCCCCAGCAACTGGGGGTTCAAACCAGCAGAGCCATCCTTCAAGGCCTTCTCCAGTCTCCTGACCTGTTTGAGCGCGGAGAGGTGGTCACTCTGAAAACGCAAGTCACTGGGCTTCAGCTCGACACCTCGGCGCTGGCTGGGCTCCGGCTGCCCATCACTCTGCCTCAGGCCTGGCCACCGGTCTGTGTCCTGACACGTGGTCTTTGCTGTCCTTCTGCTGTCATTTTCCAAGCTCTCTGTTTCAAGCCTCAACCCATTCTTTGTTCTGGTGACCTCGCTGCCTCTCCGCTCTACCCCGCAGGGTGGCAAGTAGTTCTCTTGGCCCTCCGTTGGCCTGGCAGGCTCAGGAGTAGGTGGCTCCTTCTTGCCTTCCCACTTGGATATCTTGTCCTTTATGCTGAGGGGCTCGGTCTCCGGTGGATGGCCCAGGGTTCTGGACGCTGCCAGGCTGCTTCTTCGAGGGCCTGCTGGCCTCTTTAGCACCGAGGTCTGCAGCCGGGCCATTGATGATCATACTGGAGCCGAGCATGTCCACTCTTGCCTCCAGCATGAGGTTGTGGGGGTTCCTTGGGGAGCTCCTTCCCAAGGGCAGTGCTGGATTAGACTCTCGAGAAGGAACAGATCTCCCAAGTGGCCGCCTTCCAAGAACTTCCCCAGCCTTTGAACCCTCTGCCTTGATCCTCCCCGCAGGCGGGTTCCTGGGCGCATATTGCTGATGCCCATGGCGGCGGCAGGGGGGGGGCCTGGGGCGCCAAGGCCTGCTGCCCTCAGCGCCTTGGTCCACATGGCCTCCCCCGCTGCCACTAGCTCCTTGGGTCCCTTGCGGGCGTGCCTTTTATGCTAAATTTTACAAATGGCTCTTCCAATGGAAGAACTGCATATAGGGCTAATAAAAAAAATTGTGGAGCATAACAAGGGTCCTTCAAAGCAAATCATAAAAGTTGTAAGCAGATCCTGATGCAAACGGATCTGACATGATAACACCAAGCTGACCTTTGCTAGGGCAAGGTGGAAAAAGCCCTTACAATGCATTATGAAAAAACCCGACCTATATATATTTGGGGTCGATGATATGTTTATGCTTTTTTCACAGAAAGAAAATAAAATCTGGACCTGGATGATGTTGAGGCTGCAGACGCCCCACAGAGGTCTTCCAGAGGCAACTGGGGAGAGGTCCTTGGTCAGGCCTTTCCTGCCCCCAAGGAGAGGAGTGCCTGATAACAGAACCTGCTGCTCCACTCTGCAGGGTGTCATACTGCCTCTAGAGAGTCAGGGAGACCCGGCTGAGATAAGTGCCAGGATGTGCTCCAGATAGCTGAATCCAGCTCACCTCACTCAGAAATCCCACCTGCCCTGGAGCACAAATGCTAAACTGCTTCTGCAGCTTGAATTCTGGTTTGCTTTGGAGCTAAGGTGCAGACTAAACAATTGTTTTAATCTTTGGGACACAAAACTCATTTTAATTTAAAATATTAACCCTTCTTCACTAAAGAAGGGTGAAGATTGGGGTTCCTGTCACTGTTGCTCAGAGACTGGAACTGGGTGCTGGAAACTGAAGTCAGGTCCTCTGCAATAGCAAAAGGCACTCTTAACTTCTGAGATGTCTCCCTAGTCCTGTGTAGATCATTTGTTCACTCTAGATTGACTTTTGTATCCTGCGATATACGTTTGTCTATATTCATATTTGTGCATGGGGAGGTCTGTTTGTCCCAAAATAAGACAGAAAGACAGGGCATTGAAGGGGATATGAGAGGGAACACACAGCCCCTCACCCTGTAATCATTTTTACATTTTTTTTTGACATTCAAGAAACCTCAACTCAACTGATAGAGCCAAAATTACCTGCAGATATGATGCAATTATTCATAAAGACATCCCAAATAATGTTTAAAAATAACAACAAATAAACTAGAGTCTGAAGATAGGGTTCATTCTTTTATATCACTGGATGTCTTCCAGAGGATTCAGGGTTGATACCCAACACCTACCCGATGGTTCGCAACTGTCTGTAACTCCAGTTCCGAGAGATCTCATAAAGTCTGGTACCCTCTGTGGGCTTTAGGTACTCACGTGGTGCACAGACTTCCCTGTGGAAAAGCATTCAAAAGCAGAAAATAAAAAACACAGTTATGCTTACTTAGGGGCAGAGTACTTATAGCCTTGAGATGGATGATGATAGCACTCTATTCTCTCGCCTAAGTCACATAATCACCTTACAATTTAATTTACTGAAAGAAATTTTATAAGGAATAAGCACATTTAAAAGCATTGCTTTTTATTTTCATTTTTTACTTTTTAATAAGCTATTGAATATTTTTTCCTAATGGAAAAATAGAACCCATTTAAAGAGTAAAAATATTCTTATAGTTAATTTAAAAACCTGAATATAGGCTTTAATGTAATTTAATCTTGAAATTTTTTGAATTACATTCTTTCAGCAATGTAACTTTAGAGCCATAAAAATCCTCCCATTTCTCCCTCTCCCACTGTACCTCCCTCCCTGCCCACCTCACATACCCTTTGCAATGACACCTAATCTCAAGTCTCTCTCCAGTCCACTCTCAGGCCATCATGCAGGAGCCATCCTTATTCTGTGTGAGCTTCTATCCACAGGATTAATAAGCTCACAACCTTTGCTTCATCCTGGCTGTTTCTGAAATTCTTTACTGCATTCTAGATTCATCTTTACCAGGGTCAAGGTCATCAAAGCGACAGGGTTATCCTCAGGCTGCTGATCACTGTGCTGGGCTGTACCTCCCTACCACCACCAAGAGTCCCAGAAAACCTCGTGAAGAGCATATGTTTTGTTCACTGAAGTGTCTTTGTGTCTTTGCTAAAGGTGTCCCCTACACATGTGTGACTCTTCTGTCCCCTTCATATTCTTTTCTGTCTTATTGTCATTTCCAATCAGGCACACTGTCTACATTTCTCTATGTTTATAAGGAGTCTGGAAATCATGTGTTCATCCTCCAAGTTTGTTCCTTTATAAGGTTGTTTCAAGCTGGGGTTTTTCATATTCACTGTGAGTTTCAGATTAAGCCCATTAGTTTATGAAAAGTCTGTTAGAGTTCTGTTGGTATTGCACTGGATCTATAGGACTGTATGAGGAGAACAGACACCTGTATCTTCCATTGCATGAAGGTGATTGTAGCGTGAGTTCTAATTGGTCTTAATAATAAAATCTGGAGTCAGATATTAAGTGGTTGGAGCTATAAGATCAGAACAGCAGAGCAGCCAGACACTAGTTCTTTCCTCGACAAAATCCTCAGACCAAATGGAGCATCCTGTCTCTACAAGACCTCAGACTGACTGCCTGGATCTCCTATCTCCTCCCACCTTATATTCCTCTCTTTTCCCAGCCACATTCCTTTCATTCTCCATCTCCCTCGTGCTGGGATTAAAGGTGTGTGACACCAAAGCACTTTGATGAAAGATGTGAGTCACCACTGCCTGACTCTGTTTCTCTTTTAGACTGGATCAATCTAATGTAGCCCAGGATGGCCTTGAACTCACAGAGTTCTGTTTCTTAAGTGTTGGGAAAGGTGAGTTCCAACACTGCCTGTCTTCTGTGGCTAACTAGTGGCTATCTGCACACACTGATTCTCAGGCAAGCTTTATTGTCATGGAAGAAACAAAATATCGCCACAGTCGATGAATCTATACATCTTTACTCTCAGCAATGAGTTGTCCCATTCAGTGTCTAGGCACTACAGAGAAGTGGGCAGAGTTTTCCTAATTATTTCATATTTCCTGATGCTATCTCCAGTGACAGGGATTTTAAATTACAGCTTCCACACATTCATTTCACTGTGGTCAGCTGTCTGTGTTAAATTTAGACAGAGTTATTGATGAATCTTTTAGGTTAAAATATTTAATTACATTCTCTATGATGAAAATGTCTTTGATGCTAACATATATTTGCTGTGTTTAAAATTCAGTACTTTGAAGTTGCAAGTGAATTATGAGAACAGAAACAAATGTCCAACACCCAGTTTGGGGGAAAATTTCTAAGGCAGCCACAGGTCAAAGGTTTGCCCCAATGGCATCTTTGGAATCATAGAGATAGTCCTTTACCTCCCAGCTAGCTCCATCAGGGAGGTGCTGAGATCACGGTGGAGAGAAAGAAGGGGATACATGTGAAGAGTTAGGTATGTATGTGTAACTCCAGAAAGGTTTGTATTATGAAGAATACTTAGGTAATTATTTTCAAAATATCTAATATTATTTTCCCCAACACAAAAAGGAAAAGGTTAGTACTCGTGTGTTTTCCCTCTTGTTTTCCCATCCAGTCATGCAGATTTTAGCAGTGTTGCTGTGGACTTGTACAGAGGGGGTGTTTTATGTATGGTTCTTTCCATGTTTATTATAACCATGACGCCTGCTAAGTGTTGCTCTGATACCTACTTCCCTGTGCAGTTACTAGTATACAAGCATTGCTTGTCTTTGAGTAAAGTTTCCCTTTTATCTTTTGTTTATTAATGGATTTACTCATGCGTTTGTGTCTACTAAGAAACACCCATTTCTTAAAGGAGTACTCCTTTGTCATCATTATATACTGTGATGCTTAAATTATCCCATAACATGCCCGTGGGAGTACATTCAAGTGGACCTGCTCTTCATTTGTTATCTGTCTAGAATTCTGGATTATCTGACCACCCCTGGGAAGAAAGCCAAAAGCAAATGCTTCTTGTCAGTGATACTTTGTGTCCTCTGTCTATCAATGTCAGGTCTCTTCTATGAGAAGAACAGCAGACCTGCAGAGAGAACACGCAGAATGTTGACAAGAAGCTGACATGAGCCCTTGTTTCCAGTATGTGAGTCATCATTGCCACCAATGTGAGTGTGTGTGTGTGTGTGTGTGTGTGTGTGTGTGTGTGATGTGTACATGGCTGTGTATAAAGGGTCTGTGAAATGAACAAAGAAAAGGAAGATGTCACTGCACATCTTTGACTTGACTGGATGCAGACAGACTACTCCATCCTTATATTCAGTACAGTAGAGTGACAAGATCATGTGGGACTCACCAGGTGAGTCATTTCCTTTTCTCTTCCCATCTGTGTGACCAGCAGCTGGTCTGTGATGCCTTGTAGGAACACATCCTGTTGAGCAGTTCGCAGCAAAGAGCAGCACACTGTAAAACAATGGCATTCATAGACTCCCCAGATGACTGAACCCTGTAGGGGTCCCTTTAAATGACCAGGACTGAAATGGAAGCAATCCCCATCAGACCATTTCCCCGAATGGGCCATGCATGACTGCATCACATTTGGAGGGATTGCTTATTAAGATGGTAGAAATCTGGATCCACAACAGACACTGAATCATGCTTATTAAAATGGTAGATATCTGGGTCCACAGCAGACACTGATTCAAACCCTAGGAAGTGAGTGTGGCATAGCCACTTCTTTCTGATGGCTGTCCATGTTAAAACGTATTGCTAGTGTGTTTGATATTCTGTCTTCCAGGATATGAAGTCACAGACTGCTTAAGTCCATACCATGTTCTCTTGTTACTGCCTTAAATACCACTGTGTTGCATGGCATATCAAATAGACAAATCAATTCCTTCGTGTACGTTTATCCAGATATTCACATAGTGGCCTCTTTAGTGAACACCTTGTTCCTGCACTGTGTAGACTAGCACGGGTCCTTGTATATCGTGTTAGATAGGCAAACTGTCAGTAAGCAGAAGAAATCAGTAATCACAGCAATTCCGTGTATTATTGGCGCTTTAAAGATCATAAAGGGGACAGGAAATAGTTGTGATGGGGATTGTCGTATGTGATGTTACCCCCAAAGGTTTCAGAAGTTAGCATGTGATCTGAGTCCTGAATGGCAAATAGAAGCAAGACCGTGCACAAACCAAGTTGTGGGCGTGCTTGCTTCCATGGAGAACAGTGGATCTAAGAGCAGAGAACAAGGCTAGTTGCCAGAACCTTGAAGACAACGTGGACACTGCTTGGGGATAGGACAGAAAGGAAAATGTTGTCATTGTCAGCTGTGTATGACATTTGGATTATATGATCTGTGTGGAAGGTCAGTTATGGAATTGTCATGATATGTTTCCTTTTGGTAGAAGGTGACTTGGCACTGCACAGAGAAAGGCCTGGGGAGGGCGGGATGAGGTAGTGTGTGGAGACAGTGGAGATGGTTCCGAAGACAGGGGAGGGATGGAGGTATGAAAGAGGGATGAAGCCATGCTGCAGTGATCAGCAGGAGAGCTGCCCTGTGCAGCCTTGTCTGGGAGAGGGCAGATAGCACCTGGATGCGCTGTGCATTTTCCTTGTGGAGACGTTGCTCTAACATCTCTGGATTTGTCTGACCACATGGAGACACGGTGCTTCCATTTACTGACATCAGTTATTCCACGTGTATTGACACAGGATAGTTTGAATACCCAATCTAGTCATTAAAACTTAACAATTTGATAACGAGTTGCTGATGAATAATTTTCAGATGTAAAGTTTTCTAAGTACAGCTAACTGTAGCATAATTTCCAAAAGAATAAGAATCTAACATTTGTCTCATAAAAAGTGAACACAAAATTCAGTGTATTTTTGAAAATGGCTGTTCTACAGCATGTACTGCTCTTGGTACGTTTACAGATGAAGGAAGTGAGTAGGTTTTAGGCAGAGTTGAAGTGAAATCAGTCTCTAAATTCTGTAGCAACTGCTTGTCCCTATTCTTTCTCCAGAAGAAGACTGCCTTTAGAAATGCGTATTTTTGACAGCTGGGCACGGAGCAAACATTCACAAGACAGAGGCAGTTGGATGTCTGAGTTCAAGGCCAGCCTGTAATTCCA